GGGATGAGTGCAGCAATCACTTCAGCCACAGAATTCCACACTGGTGTGGCTTGGAAGGGACTCTGAAGCTCTTCTATTCCACTCCTGGGCAGGGCCACCTTCCACTAGCCCAGGTGGCTCAGAGCCTTGAAGACCTTCAGCTCTTGAATCCCTGATCCTCCGCTCCCTCATCTGGCCTTGGAAGTGCCAAACCCTTTGGTTTGTATTTTCCATCTCTGTACAAATGGAGCAGGAGTTTTCCTGCCATTCCAGTGAGATGTGGATCACCTTTTTACCTTGAATCACTCCAGAGCTGCTTGGGTACAGAGGTGAGGATCAGGGACAGAGGCTGTTCAGAGACTTCATTTGGAAACTCTTGGAGGGAAACAAAAAGCAGAGACAAGATTAATCCTAAAAACAACAGGAATTGGTGCAGAGAAATGCTCAGCATTTGGGAGGGAGTGGGGAGCTCAAAGGCCCAACCAGCTGATGGTCAAGGTCCAGCAGTGTTCAGTGTGCCAAGACAAGTGGAGAATCATTTTCCAGAGTGGCCCACAGGAACGTGATCCAACAGGACAAAGGCAGGGATGGGGTTCAGTGATCCTTTTGAAGCCATAAGGTGATAAATATTTAGGAGGGAGGAGAATTGTTGAGGTTGCTTATCAGAAGATGTAGGAGGGATAAACATTTGGGCTGTAGATGAATGGGATCATGGAATTACAGAATGGATCGGGTTGGAAGGGACCTTAAAAATCATCCAGCTCCAACCCTTCCACTATATCTTGAGTGTTTTTATCAGAAGTGATGCTGGAAAATGAGGGAACTGGTTAAAGAATGAAACACCCAAGATATCTGGGAGAACCTCTGTCTCCAATCTGTAGAACCCCCTGAGTTTCCTCCTCTGGAGTCACACCCAGAGCTGTTCTTTGCCCCTAACTGTGGATCCCGTTTGTGTTTGGTTGCAGAGTGGTTGTGCTGGAGAGCAGGCCCACAGAAAACCCCACAGCTCACAGCAACCTCTACATCCTGGCTGGACATGAGAACAGCTACTGAGCAGCACCCACCCCAAAGAGCAGAGGGGACTGGCCACGCTGGGACCCAGGAGCTGCAGGAAACCGGGACTTGGCCGCTTCTCGTCTGACACCCGAGCTGTCTTGGGGTTTAGGGTGGGAATCAATCCATTTTTGCAGCTGGGAACAGCTGGTTCTGTCTCTTGCCACTGTGTGGTTGGTTATGTCGAGTTTGCTTAATAAAAGCTGAGATAAAGAGCCCTTTACTCGTTAGTTCTAGGGAAACAGAGCCTTGAAACTTGTTCTGCAGTAAAGGTGCCATAAACTGTTAAATATTTCCCTTCCCTTGGGTTTTCCTTTTATTCTGTAGATACAGATCTAGTGCTGGCTGTTGCCCTGTTTTATACTGAGTCTTATTCTTAATAAAACAAAGATTTGTGTAGGAAGTGAAAGTATCTGCAGAGCTTTTTGGTTTTAAATCTGCCATGGGGTATGGCTTTGTATAATAGACTATTTAATCCTTATTTATTAATCTGCTGCTAGGATGGGGTAATGTCTAACTTTTAGCAAAGGAAGGTTGCAGAGCAGCTTACTTTTTTTTTTTTTTTTTTTTTTTTACAATTGTATAAAGATTTGATTATTCTTTTTCCTTGTAGGGATGTAGTGCATTACTGAGGGGTGTGTTACCGTGTTGGGTGATCATGTAAAAAAAATGCAGTTTTGTACAACAAAGTATTTTGTACCGATTTTTCTGCCTGCAGAATTGCCATAAAAGGGATTTTCTTACTTCCTAGACGTAGGGTGTGTGTACACAAAGTAGAATATTGATATCAGACCTGTTGCTCCTGGGTGGCTGTGTACAATATCCACGTGTGTGTGCGCGTGTGCACGTGTGTGAAGTTGCCTGGCAGTGTGTATATTTTATATATATATTTATACATATATATATAAAAATGTACAAAACATATATGCTTTATTTTCATAAATTAGGGATAAGCCTTGTGACATGAAGTGGAAATTGTAGCAGGTCATCATCCTTAATGAATGAAAGTATCATGTATCCAACTGCCCACGACGTGTGGTTTATTTATGCTGTTCCAGAGGGGAGCCTGGAGCCACAGCTGAGCCTGAGCAGCATTCCAGCTGCTGTGCTTTGGGGATGGCTGCTGCCCCAGCTGTGAGTATAAATAAACATGATAAGAACCAGTATTCTGTATCCAAGCTTTGATCACTTTTTGGTCACCTGCAATTTTTTTAATCCTTTCTCTTTCTCCATTGAAGAGTCACATCGGTTCCTTTTGTCTTCCTCATTAATTAAAATTCTTGAGGTACCATTAAATATAGACTGACTCCAGGAGAGCATCTGGTTTTACTACCTCACATTACCCTGCTGGCTTTGATGTGAACACTCCTCGGGCAGGTGCAGAATTCCAATGCTCAGAAACGTTGGAATTGAAGGGGTTTTTAATTAAATGCCTGTTCAGCTCCTGAGATCTGCTGCCTAGGAAGGAGAAGCTGGAATTCCCAGGTCATTTGAGCAGAGCAGGAAAGGTGTGTGAGAGCTGGGAGTGGTTTGGTGCTGTGTTGGCATCGGGCTCCATGATCCATAATTTAACAGGGAGGGAATTGTCTGGGCCCACGTGATGGCTCAGGGAAGGTCCAGAGGGGGAAACAGCCCTGCACACATTCAGCATTTTAGCCACTGTCATTCAAAACTAATTCTTGCTGACTTGACATCCAAATCAAGTCAAGCTTTTCAGTTCTGACACTGTGTCAAAGCTTAAAAAGTACTAAGTGTACAGATGAAATTTATGGATCACTCCACAGAGCATGAAAAATGTGCTTTAGGGATGGTCAGCTGGAATTGGCTCAGCAGTATTAACAGCAGGACGTGTGATTTTTTTGTCTTTTAAAGGGGTTCTCTAGTATTGAAATTACTTCTCCACAGGTAACAGTGACTGGTGATTAACCTCAAACGGTGCCTCTCCTGGTCTTTAAAACAAAAATTAAGGTGAAGTGAAGCACCAGGTGTAGATATTGTAGAGCAAACACTTCTTAATTTACCTCATTCACTACAGAAGGTAATTTCAGCTTCATCTTTGAAAACACTTAAAGGAGATCTCTAAAAGACTAGAGAAACCTGTAAATAAAATCTGGATATTTATGGGGAATAACTGGAGTAAATAACTCTTAGGTCATGACACTGTCATGCAGAAATAACGAGCTGAAAGTCTTTTTCTTTGACACGAATTGCTGATGTTTTGCTGGATCATAAAGAATAAACTTAGGAAAGTCCTCGTTTAATCAAACCCTTTTTAGCTGTTGAAGCATTTCTAATGGCATGTTGTGAAATGCTTAGTGCTGGTTTCATAGACAGTGGCATTTTTTGGCATGATCTGCAAGATGCTGTTTCCTAGTGTAAAACCTCACTTTTGTTCCGTACCACAGAGCAGATTTGTGTGTTCCAGCCAGCCTCAGTGACTCTGATCAGTATAATTTGTGTTTGACTGTTTAATTTAGTCTGGTATTGTCTGTACCTTTGTTTTTGTGGAATTTAAACCAGGCTTGAGAAGTTTAAATAAGGGGAGCTTGGGGGTGATGAAGCAAAAGCTTGCTCAGCCCCTCCTTCCTCGCTCAACATTTATCAAAATTTTAATTATTGGATGCACGAGGTCATGTACCCGACTTGAAAGCCTTAAAACAGGCTCCCAGAGCTCTTGGAAGTACAGACAGCATGGGAAGAGCAGTCTGTGGATTAATCTCTTTGGATTTCCTAACCAAATTCCTTGCAAGTAAAAAATACAGCTGGAATTGTGCTGACATCTCTGTAAAGAAGAAAGGTACAACGCATCAGGGGAGCCACGGTGTCTCTGGATGGAAAGGACAAGACTGGGAGACTCTGAAATGTGCTTTTTTTTACCTTGTTTCGTCGTTAGGTGTAACTGAGACTCATAACTGCACTCGTTCAGTTTGTGTAACCAGGCTTTGTTCCACGGGAATTTCTGTTGCAGTTCAGTCTATGCCAAATAAACTGCTTTATTTGATTTGTGCTTGGTGGCTCGCTGGGAACAATACCTTGTCAGAGGGCTCTGGGGAGGATCCAGCCAGCTCCAGATCTTCAGGGATCTGCCAAGGTAGAGGGAAAAGGAGACTGAAAAAATAATGTAATGAACGTGGCTTTGGACAACACAACTGCCAGTTACTGGCAGTTATATTTATAAATAAATATACAGCAATATTCCCCCTCTGCAGGAGATGGTTAGGGGGGTCAATCTTGGCAGCTGGAATGTGAGGACTGCACATCCCTGATGAATGTGGCTTGGGAAGAAAAATAATTAGTGGGTCTTTGTTCTGAGTTGGGAAGCACCTCAGGAAAGGACTGGGGAGGGAGGAGGCATGAGATGGAGTGGGGTGCCCACACTCATATTCAGATCTAATATTGAAAGCAATTACCACCACAAAAGGCCACCTTGGTCAGGGGATGAGGAGAGGGATGAGGATCCAGGGACCCAGGCGGGTGCACCAGGAAAGAGAACAGGATGGTAAGGGATGGAAAATTCGACCAAAGGAAGGGTCTGGCTGCTGGCAGGAGCCCATTCAGCGGCAGAGACCTGAGATACCAGTGGGAAGATGTTCAGGGAAACCCCCAGTGCCAGAGGGAAGTGCAGACCCTGTGGAAAGATGTTGCCCTTCCAACCCTGCAGGAAAACGGAGTCAAACCTAGCGATCCTCTGGAAAGGCAGAGAGGTGTAAAAACAACGCGATCATGGCAGGGTGGTTGGAGCTGTGGTCTCTAAGGTCCCTTCCGACCCAGTCCATGAGTGGACACGGCGCTGCGGGGCATGAAGCCCGGGGGGATCGTGAGGCGCGGAGTGAGTGTACGGCCCCGCAGCGGCCATGGGGATCCCCGCTGTCCCTCCCTCCCTTCTCCCCGGGCCCGTCCCGGCCGTGGCGGTGTCCCCGGGGCGGTTCTGGGGCCGTACCCGCCGGGGCGACTCCCCCGCTCGGGGCCCGCCCCGGCTCCGCGCTGAGGCGGCGGCAGAGCGCGGCGGGGCCGCCCGGCCATGGAGCGCTACGAGAAGCTGGGCAAGGTCGGGGCTGGCTCCTACGGCGTCGTCTTCAAGTGCCGCAACAAGGACACGGGGCAGATTGTGGCCATCAAGAAGTTCCTGGAGTCCGAGGAGGACCCGGTGATCCGGAAGATCGCCCTGAGGGAGATCCGCATGCTCAAGGTGGGCGGGCGCGGAGGGACGGACCCCTCTGCCGGCCATGGCCAGCCCTGAGGGAGCTGCCGGGGACGGTCGTGAGGGGTCAGGGTGTGAGGACATCCATGAAGGGACATCGTGAGGCTGCAAGGTGTGAGAACAGCGAGGAGGGGACAGAGTGTCTTGAGGGGACGGGGCGCCGTGAGGCGACGGGGTGTGAGGGCAGCCATGAAGAGACGGGGCATGAGGTGATGGGGAAAGCAAAGAGACGGCTGTGAAGGGGCACCATGAAGCGCCCAGGTCAGAAAGCCGGTGCCAGGGAATCCGGGGGATCTGCCCGGCCCAGGCAGGAGCCGGTGGGAGCTGAGGCACGGCCGTGAGCAGCCGCAGGTGCCGGCTCCTGTGCCGGAGTCACGGTGTGCCCTGCACAGGGGGAGCGAGCCAGGCTCTGTCCCCCGCCGAGCCAGCGATGTCCTGGCCGCTGTGGGCACAGCTCTGCCCTTGGTGTGTGTCACAGACCCCTCTGCGCCCAGGAGATTCCCCGGGATAGCTGGAGCCGCTGTAAAACACATGGGCAGAAAGCGAGGTTGGGCAGCACGAGGAGAGGGACAGCCAGGGGACACAGCTCTCCCTGCTCCACAGTTGATAAATCTGCCCCAGCTCCTTCAAACGCCCTTTCTGAGCCTCTGGTTGTGCAGGATGCAGCTGTGGATTGAATGCCAGGGGCTGTGTAGGGTCAGGTATTCCACATGAAGTGACAGCAGAAGTGGCAGCAGTGAACCTTGTCCTTGCTGATCCTCTCCTGACCTCTCTGAGCGCTCATCCTCTCACAGAAATGGGTTACTCCTTCAGAAATGAGTTACACCTTCAGTCTCTGGCTTTATTTTCCCCATGAAATAAAAACACAGGAGCATCTGCAGTGAGTCACACCCCAGGTCTGTCCAGCATGCAGAAATGAGGAGAGACCCAGGAGAAAGGAGGAGAGGATTGGGTAAAGGTTTCTTTTCACACTCCCAGCTCCTGGGCAAGGATTCTGCAGCAAAAGCTGTGCCTGTTGCTTCATCCATCTGCAGACTTTTGGGACTCTGTCCCATCTCTTTGGAGCTCGTGTGTTCATTTGGTCTCCATAGTGTCCTGAGGCTTTAGGAATGCGTTGTGTGAAAAAAAATATTTCCTTTTCTTTGTTACAAACTTGCTGCTGGGTGATGGCACACAGTACCCTCAGCTTTGTGTTCCAAGAAATGGGAAGTGTCACCTTGGCACTTTTTCCAGGGGGCTCATGATTTGCACACCTGCTATCCTAGCAAAACAGTCATCTAGGAAAAAGCATAATTATTTTTCTGTTACATTTTGGAAGAAGCAGCCAAAGTTTTTCTCCTATCCAAAGTAAACACAAGACATGTAGCTATGTTATTTCAGTGAATAATGCTAGATTTACATTAAGATTTAAATGATGTTAAACATCTGAAAAGGAAAATAATCATGGCAGAAGTCCCTTGTAAAGCAGCTGGGAGCTGCATCATCCTTAAGGATCCAAAGCTACTGCAGCCAGGCACAGCAGGATCTGTGTTGATCACTGTTGACTTTAACAAGTGCAGACCTGCTTGACTCTTTTCAGCTTTTTCTCTGCAAATAGTGACTGTTTGTTTGTTTGTTGAGGCACTTCCTAGCTTAGGCAACTCCTGTTTGTCAGAGATGGAGTGACATTGTGTTTCATCAGTAGAATATTATGGGTCTTGATAAATGATTTTTCTGCCCAGTAAACACCTTCAGACCACGGGATTTTTGTGGCCAGGAGCCAAGGGACGTGGAGTGGGAGTTTGCAGGCTCTTGAAACCATAGAATCCCAGGATGGTTTGGGTTGGAAGGGATTCCAATCATCCCATTCCATGGCAGGGACACCTTCCACTGTCCCAGGCTGCTCCAAGCCCTGGCCAGTCTGGCTTTGAACACTTCCAGGGATCCAGGGACAGCCACAGCTGCTCTGGGCACCCTGTGCCAGGGCCTGCCCACCCTCCCAGCCAGGAATTCCTTCCCAATATCCAAGGACAAGGGGGACATCGGGCCTTCCCCGTGCCAGAGGGCAGGGCTGAACACTGAGCAGAGCTTCTTGCCCACCCATTGAGCTCTGCTCCCAGAATAAGTACAAAATAAGAGGCTGAGTTGTGCTTGTAGAAAGGGTTCAGCTTAAGGCATTGTGACCCTGCGGGACAAACCTGTGCCCCCCACCCTCACCCTGCCCTCGCTCTGTGTGTTGCAGCAACTCAAACACCCCAACCTGGTGAAGCTGCTCGAGGTGTTCAGGAGGAAGCGGCGGCTGCACCTGGTGTTGGAGTACTGCGAGCACACCGTGCTGCATGAGCTGGACAAGCACCCCCGCGGGTGAGTGAGTGCCCCTCTGCCCCGGAGCACCCGAGCACGGGGTGTCCGTGCTGCTGCCCCGTGGCTTTCCAGAGGGATCTCATTAATTACAGGAGAGGTTTCTCAGCCCAGTTGCTGTGGTTTGGCACAGGAGCGGTGTGGGAGCCGCGTTCCCGCACAGCCCCGCTCACCGCGGAGACGGGAGCGCCGAGCCGAGCGTTTGGGAGAGCTCTGGCTGCCGGGGGAGCAGCGAACCGCGCCTTGCGAGCAGCTTTGCTGCTCCTTCCACTGCTCCCGTCGCTGGGGCACTGCGGCACCCAGACACGGAATCGGCGACTTGCAGAGTCACTTGGGTTGGAAAAGCTTTGAGACCATCGAGTCCAGCTGTTAATGCAGCACTGCCGTGTTCACCATTAAAGCGTTGTCCCCAAGTGCCACATCTACACTTTTGAACACTCTGAGCCCTTCAGAGCGAGGGCTAATTCCTAAGAGCTGTGCCTGCACCTCTCTGCAAAGCTCCTCTTCGAACAGGTGCTTGCACCAAGTGTGAGCTCCGCACGGGGTTTGTTCCGTCCACACCTTGTTAACACCACTGCCTCTGTCCCTAATTATCCCTTGGTGCTGGAAAATGCTAAGCAGAAGTCCATAAATCGTTTCACAGCTTGTGAATGTGCCTGCAGCACGGGGGGGTTGAGTAAACAAGAGCTTGTTGTTCACTCCCTTTCTCCCCGGTGAGGAGCACCAGGAAAAAGGAGCATGTGACAAAGCTGACAGCTTCGTGAGCTGCCACCCCACTTTGAACCTGTTCCCTGGAATCTGAAGAGGGGATGGATAACTCTCCTGAAGGAAATGCTTCCCAATTGCTGACTGTTGGTCAGAGCAAACATGGAGCAGCTGGCTGCATGCTTTGCTTTTCAGCTTTGCTGGGGCAGATAGATGGTCAAGTCTTTCATGGTCGGGTTAACATGGGTGGGCATGTGCTGATTCCAGCTCATTTGACCAACTCCATCCCCTTTTCAAGCTGTCACAGCAGCACTCCCACCATTCTGGGATGTTTCTGGAAGGAATCTCTCCTCACAGTGTCAGCAGAGTGTCACCGACCCACTGACAGCACAAAGTGAAAGCCATGCTCCAAAGAAAAACTCAGGCTTGCATTGTTTTGGTTTGGTTTGGGGTAGTTTTTTTCTTTATTACGAATCAGAAGCTTTTCAGCACTCAACATGTGAAATAAAATTGTGTTTGAGTTGGAAAACGCCAAGATTGTCACTTCTGCCTTTCCTGGGGTTGTGGAAGATCATTACAGACAGCCAAGGAAGTTCAAGAACTGTTGCCCAGTAACTGAAAGAAAGGAGAGGGGGCTGGGAAGTTTGCTGGCTGTGGGAGGGAAGGAGGGGGATCCAAACCAAAGCAGAGCTTTATACTCTGGTCTGAGCACCCTTCCCTGGCCCATCTTTCACCTCTCCACTCTGCACAATCAGTGCCATGGCAGCATTCCATGTATCTACACCATGGATACTCCAGCAGTTCCAGCCCTGAGAGGTGCTGAGGCAGAAATTCCTGCTGGCACTTCAGGATTGCCAGGAATCCTAGGACAGGGTCTGAGATGGACTCACTTTGCTGTGTGTCACAGTGGCAGCCCTTGCTGGCTGTGACAGTGGTGCCAGACATAAATCCTTGTTGCACTGACTGGCTTTGGAAGTGTTTCCTGACTTCCCTGATGGTTTTGCTCAGAGATCCCTGTACAATGTCAGCACTCATTTTCCCTGAAATAGTGAATTTGTTATTAGTGGCCAAAATAAAACTGTGGTTTTTTCCAACAGGGTGCCAGAGTACCTGGTGAAGAGCATAACCTGGCAGACCCTGCAGGCTGTGAACTTCTGCCATAAACACAATGTGAGTCCCCTGAGCTGCACCAGTGATTGCTGGAACGTGGCCTTGGAGGAGAGAGGGGCGTTCTGTTGGCATTTTCCTGATTCCAGAGCTTTCATGGGATGGAATCAGGTGGAATCTCCTGTTTTGAACAGGAAACACATCTGAAATACTGGTGTATACCCACACCAGCTGCCTTCACTGTCACACAGGCCCCTTGGCTTGGCTGTCAGGGAATAATTTGCTCTAATGACCTTGGACAAGCCTCCAGGAGGAATGGGAATGATCCTTGTGTGATTCCCTGGGCCCTGCACTACTGCTGCCCTTCAGGAACCTGCCCTACCAGCTCATCAGTTGGGACATGAGCAAACTGTGGCTGATTTCACAGAAAGTCCTTCACTTGACTGGCATGGGGTTGAATTATGGCATCAGTGAAAAGATTTCAAAAGTGAGACACAGTAAACCCTTTTTACTCCCTCCTCTGCTCTGTGGAGGGAGACACGAGCTGTGTGCGTGTCAGATACATCAGTGGGAATTTAAGAAGCAGGGAAGGAGAAGGAGCCTTTTGGAGAAGTTTCTTAGGCAAACTTAGCTCTAATTGTCTTTATTTTTGTTCATCTGCCAACATTTGAGATTGAAGAGTGGGGCAGATTTAAGAGATGGCTCTGGAATGGGTGTTTTGTCTTTGCTGAGGGAATTACGTCCAGTTGAGCCGCAGGAACTTGGCCACAGGTCTCTCCTGCTTCCAAGATTTGTTGGTTTGAGTCTTTTCCTGTTCCCCTGCTCAGTCTGGAAGATATAGTGGAGTTTGAGAGCAGAGGGAACAATGGGATGCTGCAGCCTGAGCTGCTGTAGATCACAGCTAATGAGGTTTTGTGCAGCTGCCCTTTCTGGAGCTCCATGACAGTGGTTTAATAAGCAGCATTTCAGTCCTCAGGAGGAGACACAATAATTTACCACCAGCTTGGCAAGGAAAGTCCAAGGTGTTTGCTCTGAGGTGATGATGGGAGAGGGACAACGTGGGTGAGACCCCAGTGAGTTGAGTAGAACAAAAGAAATAAAGGTTAGTTTGATCAGCAGAAATTCTTTGCCAAGCCCAAATTCAGTTGTGAAGGACGAGGTCACATCTAAAGAGTCACAGAATTGCTGGTATTGGAAGGGGGCTCTGGAGATCTCATCCAACCCTTCCAGTCAGTCTGGCTCAGCTGGAACAGGCTGTTCAGAAACTTTTCCAGTCAGGATTTCAGTATCTCCAAGGCTGGAGTCTCCACAGACTCCCTGGACAAGCTGTTTGGGTGTCTGGCCATGCCATCAGTACAAAAGATAAAATAAATTGCTTAGGTTTCAATGGAATTTCCTGTGTGTTCAGTTTGTGCCCATGGTGTGTGTCCTTTCAGTGCACCACCAAGAACAGCCTGGCTCAGTCTCCTTTACCCTTCCCATCAGGTATTTCATGCACACTGAAGAGCTTCACCTGGAGCCTTTTCTTGGTGGTCCCAGCTCCCTCATCCTCTCCTGGGATGTCAGACACCCCAGTCCTGTAAATTCCAGTGGCACTGGAGTCACATCTTCCCTCTCTGGAGGGTCCCAAGCTGGACACGGCTCTGGATGTGTCTCACCTGTGCTGAGCAGAGCTCTTGCTGAGCTTTGGCAGCAAAACCATTTGGCATTTGGAGCTTCCCAGGGGGTTCAGGGAGCTGCCTCCGTGCTGCCTAGGGGATGCAGAGCTGGCAGCTGAAGCTGGGAGCCTGCACAGTGCCTGTCCCCAAGGGTGGGCTATGGACAGGTCATTGTCCCGCTGCTCAGAAATCCTTCCAGCTTCCCTTTCAGCAGGAAGAACTGCCTGGCACAGTGTGCCAGGTGTGACTGCATTTATCTGAGGGCCAGGTTAAATCCTTCTAACCTTGCTGCTTCTTCCAGTGCATCCACCGGGATGTGAAGCCAGAGAACATCCTGATAACAAAGCACTCGGTCATCAAACTCTGTGACTTCGGATTTGCTCGAATACTTAGTGAGTGCTGAATTTATCTACACTCTTTATGTACTGGGAGTGTGGGATGAGCCATGCCAACCCTCACTTGCCTGTGTCTGATGCTCTGCAAACCCTCCTGTGTGGTAGCTGTGTGTTTTCCCAGGGAAGCTCTGCTGAAGGCTGGGTGGAGATTCCTGAACCGTGCAGGGAAGGGAGCCCGGACACCGCGGTGACATCTGTAAACATCTGTAAACAAACCGAGCTCCCCGCTGGGGGTGCTGCCACGGGGAGGTGGAAGTCGGCCTTGGGCGTCTCGGGGCTGCCCAGCCGCTCTTTTTGCAGGGCTGGAGACACAGCTGGAGCTCCCTGGCAGGAAAAGCCCCTCTGGCTGCCTCTGCGAACAATGGCTTCGCATTTTCCGTTGTAAATAAACCCCCTAATAATCTGGTTTTTTTTAGCTCCTCTTCAGACAAATCACATGGGTTCTGAGAACTGCCCACTGGTGCTGCAGGGCCCTGCTGTGGAGCTCTGCACATTTTCATTTGGAGGAAAACACGGTCTCGATTTTTAGCAGATCCTCGGCGTTTCCAAAGCTGGGCTCTGCTGGTGGCCAGTGACTCACCCTGCTCCTGCAGCTCTGGCCTGCCCAGGAGGTGCCCCAAAATGCTAAAAGTAACGATGGCTCCTCTGCCTCGCTCTGATCCCGCGTTCCTGTGTCCGTGTCTCTCTCCCCTGACCCCGAGCCAGCCGGTCCCAGTGACTACTACACCGACTACGTGGCCACCCGGTGGTACCGCTGCCCGGAGCTGCTGGTGGGGGACACCCAGTACGGGCCCCCCGTGGACGTGTGGGCCGTCGGCTGCGTGTTCGCCGAGCTGCTCTCGGGGGTGCCCCTGTGGCCGGGCAAGTCGGACGCGGACCAGCTGTACCTGATCCGCAGAACCCTGGGTGAGTGTCCCCGGCACCCGCGGCCCCGGCGCTTGCCCTGGAGCGATGCCCTCCGTGCTGGGAATGGGGAGTGGCCAGGGGGGAATTCACCCAGCGGATCTCTCCCTTTAGGTTTATTTGAGGGGTTCCTGTCCTTTAGAGAGAGCTGGGTGTTCCTGGCGTTGTGTACGTGTGCTAACAGGCTTGCGGTGAACCGGGCTGAGGATCGGGATCGCTGCCTGCAGACTGCCTGGAACCGTCCCTCCACTCTCCAAACCCTCTGGGAAGCTGGGTCTGGTGCAGGGTAGATTAGGAAAGATGTGGGATTAGGAAAGCTTGGTGGCCACTGGATGCCACCCCTGCTGGGGTGGGGTAGCACAGCAACTTCAGCTGTCTCCACATAGACAAAAACATGAGGTGCCTGTATCAGAAAGGACCAGGAAGGTTTTGCATAAAGGTTTACAAGGTCCAGGTGTGTTTCAGGGTTTGGTACCAAACACAGTGGTCTGTGAACAGCTGGATTCAATTCATCCCAGCTTTGGAGGTCTCTGAAGTGTTGTCAGGGCCTGTTGATGGCTGTGTGCCTGGGAAGGGCAGTGTGAACATCACAGCTTGACTGTTCCACGTGGTTGTTGTTGTTCATCAGTGAATTTAGGAGCCACTTGGTGTTTGTTTGTTAAATAACAGAGCCATTATCCCCCATAACACTTAAAATAATCGAGTGCCATTGATTCTTTTCAGTTTTGGTGTGTAACATCTGATTTCTTGGGTGACAACGAACAACCCCCCACTTTTCACTGGATTTTGTTGTAATGAACAGAGAGTTGTAATTTTAACTGAGCAGTTTATAAAACTACAAAGGTGACTAATGGCTTTAAACAGATAAGCTCCTCAGCTAGAAAAATAGTTCATCACTGATTGCTTGATCCTCCAGAATTCATTAATGCCAGTGTTAGGCAGATATAATTTATTTTTAATGACAGGGTTTCAGCCAGAGGAGATTCCCATTGATTGTTGGATCCAGGTGCTGGAGTGAGGCAGTGCTCACAGAGCAAAGCTCCTTGATTGAAGCTGTGCCATTATGGGGTTGGCATTGTACTGCCTCCTTTGCTATGGATTTGATTTTAACCCTTTCCTCGCTCTGGGGTGCTCTGAGCTTCAAAAAAACTGCCTTGGGGAAAAGCTGCAGCAGGTTCAGGTGGGGCTGTGTTCCAGCTTTGTCCTGTACAGCACCCTCAGGAGTGTCCAAAGAGAATTTCACCCAGGAGGAGTTAAATTCTCCTGAAGCTGGAACACTTGTGGCCCTCCCTTTCCTTCAGCACAGTCACACGGGTGTGGGATCAGTGATGGCCCAAATGGACATTAATTGTCACAAAAGAACATTGCCTTGGCTCACTTGGTGGCATTCCACCTCTTCAGATGCTGTCTTGGATGGCATCAGCCTTGTTAGAGGATACAAGTTCAATGCAGGCACTGTAAAATTAAGTAAATTACTCCATTTTTTTTTTCTTTTTTAAATTCTTGGTCAAAGGGGATCTCATTCCCAGGCACCAGCAAGTGTTCAGCACCAACCAGTTCTTCAGTGGGGTAAGAATTCCAGACCCAGAGAGCATGGTAAGAGCTGCCTCCAGCTGCACTTCCCTCCCTTCCCACCCTGCCCTGGAATTGCTGTGCAGTGTTTTTTCCCTATCCAGAAGCTTTGTCCTCTACTTTGCCACTGTGCACCAGAATATTATTTGGAGGTGGCTGAAACTCTCATGACATTTTAACTTACAGCCTCTGTAAAAGCAGTCCAAAAATGTTTCATCTCTGCTGCTTTGCCCTATTTCTGGTGGCACATCCTCAGTGCTGCCAGGCCTCTGAGCACATGGAGTGATGGAGACATTTAGTGAGGTCATGTTCCTATGGAAAGCTGGGTTTTGGTACCCTGATGAATGAAAAGGTTGCTAATATATTGAGTCCATTCACTGGTTGTTTTGTTTCCCCTGCAGGAACCATTGGAAGTGAAATTCCCTAATATTTCATACTCTGCACTGGCTCTCATGAAGGTGAGGAAACTCCAGGTTGTGGAGGAACCCAGCACTGGGGTAAACAAATCATCTGGTGTGAGAGTCTGGGACTGAGTTATCAGAGATTCACTGAAAAATAGACCTGGTTTGCTGCCCCATGGGATTGCAGCTGTTCCTTGAGCCACAATTCCTGCTACAATTGTGGATTCTCCATCCCTGGAAGTGTCCAAGGCCAGGCTGAACAGGGCTTGGAGCAGCCTGGGATAGGGGAAGGTGTCCCTGCCTAGGGCAGGGCGTTGGAACAAGATGGTCTTTAAGGTCCCTTCCAACCCAAACCATTCTATGATTAATCCTTGTAATTGTTGGATAATTAGCTGCTCCTCAATCTTCGTGCTGACTCTGAAAAGCCACTCTTAGCATCCATTAAAAAATTACTAACACGTGTACCTGTGGGGTACCCATGGGCTGTGGGGAGCAGCTGGAACTGTGCAGGGCTGTGTAAGGAGTGTTTGTGTGATCCTCCTCCATGTTTTTAAGGGCTGCCTCCGGATGGACCCTGCGGAGAGGCAGAGCTGTGAGCAGCTCCTGCAGTTCCCCTATTTTGACAGCTTCAGGGAGGCGGCAGAGCCGGGCAAAGAACACGAGAAGGGCGCTCGCAGACCAGCCGGGCTGACTCGGAAGCACGTGCCAGGGGTAAGCTTTCCATGGCGTTTAATATTCCTCCCTAATTAGGGGCTGTTCTTCTGCTGGCTCCCAGGGTGGGCTGTGCTGGCAGGTGAGGGTGTTGGGCTGCTCTTGGTTCTGTGCTGAGGAGAAAACAAGCCCCTGGCTAAAGAGTAACTCCGTACAAACTGGATTTTGCACTGCGGCTCCATGGGGCACCGGGGATAAACAGCACAGCCCTGGTACAGTAGGGTTCATCCAGGAAAGGACATTCCTGACAAAGAGCAGCAGGAGGGCTGGACAGACTGGACACACTCCTGTGGCTGATTTGAGTACTCTGGTGCTTTTTAATCCTGAATTATGGAGATGGAATAACCACCACTTCTGTTTGTAACAATTCCACACATTACCCCACAGACTGTGTGTTTCTGCAGCTGGAGCTGCCAAGCAAATGTCTCCCTGCTGCTCTGGCTTTTCCAGGTGCCATCCCAAGGCCCCAAATCCAGCCTCACAATGCAACTCATTCCACAGTTCTTTATTCCTGGGAGCCACATTCCCCATGGCAGCTCTAAGGCTGAGCTGGGAACAGGTAGGGGAATTGGAGGTGAGGGATGGAGAACTGCTACAGGATGTCAATTCTGGGTCAGACTCATTGGAGTCTTCCATTTCTATGATCTTGGACATTTTTCTTGCCTAATGGAATTTTTTAATGAGTCCAGTCATAAAACCCCAGCATCTAGCTTGGAAAGTACAGGATTACAGTAGGAATAGTTTTATAGCTCATATTCCGTGTGAGAATTGATTCCATGTGTGCTTTATTCCCATTCCCAACAAACACACATGGTGTAACTTTTCCTTTAGTTACAGCACCTGCCTCAGCTGACCTGCAGCAAAGTTCTGCCAGCTTTGGACAGCAAGAAGAACTGCTGCAAAACAAGGAAATCAAAGTACCACTTCCCAAACATCTGACCAGGTGGCACATCAAAAGTTGTTCAGAGTCATCCAGGATTTATAAATGGAGGATACGCAGTGAAAAACTCAATTACCAAAAGTTATGGTGTGCACAGAGTGATCCGTCCTCTACTCTGGGTCACTGATGGAGAGGAAGTGATGCAAAAAGAACTCCAAGCTCATCTTAGTGTTCTGTGTACAAAGGCAAATGCATTCTGCTTTAATTCCTGACTGCCTCCTGGGTCAGGATTACCCCAACCCAGTGCTTGCAGTATGAAATCTGAAACTCTGTCTCTGCATTTCAGACTTGGCAGGAGAACTCTGCCTTGTCCCTCCTGGGCTGAGCCCCTGCTCTGAGGAGCTGTGCCTGTGCTGCTGAAGGGCTGTGGCTGCAGCCCAGGCTGGGAGGGCTCAGCTCCTGCCCTTGCAGAGCTCAAAGGTCTCCAGGTGCTGCTCGGCCTTCAGGGGCTCCACAGGCACCAGGAGAACAGAGCAACAACATCCCTGCTGATTCTTTAGTCTTTCCAGAGCTTCTCCTGCAAGTTTCATCCTTGAATTCTGCTTCTGACAAGAGTGAGGGCACTTGCTTGTAGTCATGAAAATTATTTTATCAAAACTAATCATGAATATAATTTATAACAATGGCCAGACACAGGCAGGAATCCTACCTAAGTGTTTGTATTAGAACAACTGGGGTTTGTAGAATCTCAGAACATAATATTGTAATGATTTTGAATAAAAGAAATGGAACTTTTTCCAATTTACTGGAGGTGTTTTGCTATATAAAACTTCACTACTGGGCAAGAACATCCTCTTTTTACTGACACAGCAAAGATGTTTTGCCAGTACATTTTGTGTTCCACAGCAGTAAAAGCCCTTTCAGTGGGACAGATGCCATGTCATGGGTGTGCCTGTTGGCCTCGTTTCCTTGCACATGGAAAACCATCTCTGAGACAGCACCGTGCATCTGACTGCTTGGAGTTGTTGCCTTCTGCCCTTCCCTGCCTCAAAGCCAGGGATTTGTGTGAAAATGCTGTGCTGTCCCTGAGGATTCCCTGAGAATGCTGAGCCATTCCCACTGCGCTGGCACCAGTGAGGCCAGTCCTGGGGCAGTTGTGAGTCTCACAACAAAGGCATTGAGGGGCTGGAGCGTGTCCAGGGAAGGGCACGGAGCTGGGAAGGGCTGGAGAATTCCTGAGGGAGCTGGGAAGGGGCTCAGCCTGGAGCACAGGAGGCTCAGGGGGCCCTTGTGGCTCTGCACAGCTCCTGCCAGGAGGGGACAGCCGGGGGGGTCGGGCTCTGCTCCAGGAACAGGGACAGGAGCAGAGGGAACGGCCTCAAGTTGCACCACAAAGCTTTAGGTTTGATATTGGGGAAAATTCCTTCATGGAAGGGTTTGTCCAGCCCTGGCGCAGCTGCCCAGGACGGTGCTGGACTCACCATCCCTGCAGGGATTTAAAATCCATGTGGATGTGGCACCTGGGGACATGGGTCACCGGTGACCTTGGCAGTGCTGGGGGAACCCCTGGACTCCAGGGATCTCAGAGGACTTTTCCAACCCCAGCAATTCTCAATGACTCTTATTTATCAGGAGGGATGAGATGCAACTCCAGAGCTGCACAGAACTGCTGCAGTCCCTCAGCACACACCAAAAACGTGCTCAAGGCTGTGTCCAAGAGCTGCTGCTCCTGCACAAAGAACAGAGTCCCTTCAGCAGCTCAGTGCTCCTGAGGGGCTGACCCTGCCTGCCTGCAGATCATTCAACCACACAAAACTCCACGTGTGAAGAACACAAAAAAGACCCAGAACCTCTTTTATTAATCAGCACCCACCTACTGGGTGGGATTCTCCCAGAGGGAACAGCACCAACACCAGGCACCAACTGCACACACACCAACATTCCCCCCACTGCCACTTGCTTCTGTGCAGTAAAATACTGAAAACTTCTGACTGAGGTATTCAGAGCTTCCTAGAAAAACAGGAAACAGATGCCTACATGCAGAGGCCTGCCCTGTCTGCTCTTGATCCACCACTGAGTTTAAGCTTAATGAAAATTAACTGCATGATTTCTTCAAAGGTCACATACACCTCTGAGGCTGGACTGGGAGAGCTGGGCTTACTGGAAGTACAGTGGTGCCTACAACTTCATTTATGCAACATAAGATAAATCCTAGGAAATCACATACATCTCAGTTGTGTGCTGCTGTGTTTATTCCAAATCCAGCTCCAGCTCCAGGTTGGGCAGCGCCTGCTGAAGGACACGGAAGGTTGTTTCTTTCTCTCTGATCCCAGGAAGGTCACTCAGATACAAATATTCCAGGTTCCTGTAAATATTCAAAAAGAAAATGGACAACTACTACTGAATTGCTAACAGAGAAATTGGAGGAATTATTCTACTGCAGTTCTTGTTTTAAATGGTGACTGGAATTTTTGGTATTTTAAATGGTTCTACTGGAAGTTTGTTTCTGAAGCGGGTGTTTGGGGTTTTTAGCTGCAGTGTCCAACTGCACCCTGTTCCTGAGCACCCAGGTCTGTCCCAAACCCTGAGGCACAAGAGGTGTGACAGGAAACTGTGAGGTGGAGAAGCACTGAAAGCTACAGGACACAGTCAAACTGTGTCAAACAGAGTTAATGCAGGAGAGGGCTCAGGAACAGCAGCCAAGCTGATCACTAATTAATTGTCCTCAAGCCCACCCCAGTCACCCCACAGCCCTGACACAGCCAGACTGCAGCCCCTGCAGGCAGCACAATCCCAATCCCAGAGCAGGGAGCTGTGGAAGCACTCAGTGCCTCACGTACGTCAGCTTGTGGAGTGCAAGGATGCCTCTGTCTGTGACATTCCCACAGGAAATGATCTTCAGCTGCTGCAGACTCTTCTGGAGGTTGCTGGTCTCGCTGAGCCTCTGCAGACACTCGTCCTGTATGTACATGCACTTCTCCAGCTTGATATCCATCACGTGCTCCAGGCCATCTGCACAGGCACAAGTGAGGATTTGCTCCCAAATCCCAGGACCAGCCTGGGCTGCTGGTCAAATTCTCAATTAACAACTGCCCCTAAAACCACCCAGCAACACATTCCTTTATAAAGCGGGGCTGTAACACACAATGAATCTCCAAAGTCCTTTGTGGTACTTCAGATTTAGGAAAACCTCGGGGTTTGAATTGTTTTGGTAGGACTTCAAGAGCTTTGAAATGGGCAAGTAACAAAAAAAACCTACACTGTTTTGGGTCATGAACAATGACTCTGACATAAGAAAGTGCTAAGGTCAGAAATTAAGGGTTCCTTGCTATGAAAAAATAAAACAGCCTGTTCCCATTTTGTTTTCTGCTATTTAAAGACCACCTGAAACATTTGTTTAATCTCTTATTTTTAAGAGAATGCTTTTTGTTTGTCTTTAGACAAATAAAGACAAAAGACATCATAAATGGCTGGAGAATGAGCAGAATTAAAACTTCAGAGACACCAAAATCATCCCTTGGTGCAGAAGAAAAATAATATTTATCGTGCTTTTTGCTATGAACACATAAAAATTTGTGGCACTTCCTCGGTGCTACGGCCACTTTGGGTAAAAGCTGAAATTCCCAATGTCTTTTCACTTTATACCACACCTCCAGCAAAACCCTGGGGACTGATAAATACTTGCAAAGGGGGGGAAAACAACCCACAAATGATTTATCAGTATCTATCTAAGGAACGATAAAATGACACCACTATCCACATTTTGATGCACTTAAAAAGAAACCCATCTAAGAACAACCACCGTGTGTACTTTACCCAGATAGTCAAACCCTCTGTACATGATGCACGAGTCGGTGGCGTTGATGGCTTCGATCTTGTACTTGCCCAGGGGCCCCGTGGGGAGCCCATTGTAGTCCTGCTGCCACTTGGGCGAGCCCTGGTAGCGGACCAGGGCCCCGCAGCGCAGCAGCCACTCCGAGGCCGCCCGGTCCGGCCCCACGGCTCGGATGCGCTCGTGGTCCACCCTGCAGGGGACAGAGAGCACGCACAGCCCTGTAAGGCGACACAATTAACCCACGGGTAATTAAAATGCTCCACGGCGAGTGTCTGGTTATGCGCGGGGTCCGAGGAGTAAGGATGCGATTTGCTAGAAGTGGTTTATGGGTCGCGTTTGGATCGTGCGGTGCTTAAGTCTGGCGTGAGGTTTTTTAAGTTAAGTGGCAGATGCTTTTTAGTGGAAAAGGAACACAAACGCAACTGGACTTAGCTCTGTTTCCTTCCATGTCTTGTAGGGAAAGAAAACTGTGCTGCTGGTTGAGTTTGGGGGTCAAAGAAGAGCAGGATGTAGGGATGGGATCCATGTGGCAGAGCCCACACCCTCCTCTGGAAGGTCACGGCTTTGGAAGGGGAAGCAGGTATGGAACGACCCCTTGTCAACAACCAACACGCAATTTGGGGAGAAAGAGGAGCATTAATGACAGAAAACGTTGTCTGCAGCGTAGGGACTTGATTGTTCCGCTTCACAGACCGCGCAGAGAATTTGAGGGATCTGAAAGTTAATTATTAACCAGCGACTCACTCTTACTTGTTGAACACGGCATTCAGCCATCCCCAGAAGGCTCTACAACTGCCCGGCGGCAGCGGCGGCTTCCTCAAGAGCGTCCCCAACGCCATCATCACCTTCTCGCAGTCGGGAGAGGGAAAAGCGAGGTGTTCTTTGCAGCGCCAGCAGCAGCAGCAGGGCGAGGCCGTGCCGCCCTCAAGGCCTGAGCGGGGCTGTGAGCCCGGCGGGCCCCACGGCAGCGGGGGGGGCCGTCACCGCCCCCGCGCTGCCCCCGGCGCCGAGCGGCCGAACCTTGCCCGGCGGAGCGGAGCAGGAGGGGCGGCAGGAGGAGGGGCAGGGGCAGGGGCAGGAGGAGGAGAGGAGGAGGAGGAGGAGGAGGAGGAGGAGAGAAGGACGCGCGGCCGCGGCCCCGGCGCTCCCTCCGCCCCCAAGATGGCGGCGGCGCTGAGGGGCCGCGCGGGCCCGGCCCGGGCCGTGGCGCTGTGGCGGCTCCAGAGCCGGCGGCGCAGGTGAGGCCGGGGGGCAGCGCGGCGGGCCTGCACCCTCCCCTGGCCCTGTCTCTTCCCCTGTCCTAGTCACCGTAACCTTAGCCCTGTCCCCTGGCCCTATCCTTTCCCCTCTCCCCTCACCCCTTCCCCTCTGTTCTTAACTTTACTCATCCACGGCCCCTATTCCTTTCCGTATAATTCTCCCCTGTCCTTTCCCCCTTCCCCTATCCCCAGTCCCTCTCTCCTGTATCTATGTTTGCAATATCACCTTTCCCTATCCCCTTTTCCTCTCTCCTATATCCCTTATATTCTCTATAGCCACTTCCCCTATATCCTTTATCTGCTATCCCTATCCTTTTCCCTTTACATTATTAATCACCCCCACCCCCTTTCATCTATCCCATTTTCCTCTCCCCTATATCCCCTTTATTCCTTATATCCCCTTCCTTTATATCCCCTTTTCCTCTCTCCTATATCCCTTATATTCTCTATAGCCACTTCCCCTATATCCTTTATCTGCTATCCCTATCCTTTTCCCCTTTACATTATTAATCACCCCCACCCCCTTTCCTCTATCCCGTTTTCCTCTCCCTTATATCCCCTCTCCCTGTGCTGTCCCCTCTCCCTCTCCCCTCTGTTGTTCCATGCCCTTCCCGTGTCCCCGTCCCTTGTCCCTGTCCGTGTCCCCGTGCCGATGCCGCGTGCGTGTCCCTGCAGCTCGTTCGACGTGGCCGTGGTGGGCGCGGGGATCGTGGGCCTGGCCGCGGCCCGGGAGCTCGTCCAGCGCCATCCCTCGCTGGCCTTCGCCGTGCTGGAGAAGGAGCCGGAGCCGGGTAGGAGCGGGACAGGGACCCGCGGGAGGCTGTGTCTGAGGACACGCTGCCAGAACCTCGGCATCCCGCGGATTTCTGTGTGCAGGGATCGGCTGTGGGAGAGCAGCTGCCCTTGTTGTTGAAGTGGGTGATGGATTTCCCATTCCCAGGACAGGCCGGACACGGCTTGGAGCAGCCTGGGATGGTGGGAGGTGTCCCTGAGCATGGCAGGGGGTGGAACGAGGTGATCTCTAAAGTCCCTTTCATCCCAAACCATTCTGGAATTCTGTGATGACTCTCACAGAATTCACAGAATCCCTGGGTTGGGAGAGACCTTCAGGATCATGGAGTCCAGCCCAGCCCCAAGAGCTCACCCCAGCCCTGGCTCCCAGTGCCACATCCAGGCTTTGTTAAACACACCAGGGATGGTGACTGCACCACCTCCCCGGGCAGCCATTCCAGAACTTTACCACCCTTTCCATGAAAAACCTTTTCCTAAAATCCAACCTATATCTCCCTTGGCACAGCTTGAGGCTGCATTTCAGTGCCAAGACTCTTCCCTAACAGGGATTTCTTCCACCCTTCTCCCAAGGACGTGTCCTTCAGCAGAGTTATCATCAGTCTGTGCTTCAATGCTGGGACGGCAGATTGGGAATTTTAAGTTAAAAGCTGCTGAGTGTTGCTGCTGCACGGTGTGCAAGCTGCAGTGTGACTGCTGGGGCTGGGAATGGCAGGAGAGAGGACAAGGAGGGTGAATAACCAGGATATGGAATAATGCAGCTTGTGGGAGGGCACAGGCAGGTCCTGCATGGAGCTGGCAGAATCCCAAGGGATAGACATCAGTGATTAACTCCACTCCCCTATATCCCAATTATTCCTTATATCCCCTTCCTTTATATCCCCTCTCCCTATCCTCTGAGCCCAAAATCTTGTCTTTAATAGCTCCATCAGCCTGGCTATAAATTGCTCTTGAGATGTTCCATGAGTGATACAAAATGACCTTTTATCCCCAAGACACACAGCCGTGTGAGTGCCAAGCAGGAATGACCTTTGGGCACCCACCCTTAAAGAGGGAGAAGAGCCTGGCCAAATTACTTCAGTAAAAATGTTTGTGGTATTTTTCACCTCTATTTTATCTATTTGCAAAGAGGAAATAGCAACCTAATCCAGTTCACAAATACTCAAAAATCCTCCCAGGCCTGCTAGGATGTCCAAAGGAATTGTGGATTGGACAGATACTATGTTAGATGAGGCCATAAGGGATGCATTTCATTGTAAAAATTGGATTTTAAAATTTAATTTTAGCCTGTTTTGATTGATTGGTTTGTTGTTGAAGGAAAAATTTGTGGTTTTAGGGTTTTTTTCCCTGTTGATCCAGCACAGTGCGGGCTGTGATGGATTATCATTAACCAGGGCTGGCTGTGTCAGTGTTTCTCTAACCTTTTGAGGCCAGGGGAGGAATTAATTGTCCAGTTCTCTCACTTGATCATCTCTTATAATGCTGATTTAAGGCAGGACCTCAATTAACTCGTTTTTCTGACAGCAGAAGTGATTAAGTGGGAACAAAAGAATTCTAACAATGTGTTTTTCTTTCTCTTTAGCCCATCACCAGAGTGGCCACAACAGCGGTGTGATCCACAGTGGGATTTACTACACCCCTGGCTCCCTGAAGGCCAAGCTCTGCGTGCAGGGGGCAGCCCTGTGCTACAAATACTGTGACCAGAAGGGGATTCCCTACAAGCAGTGTGGGAAGGTACAGGAATTCCTGGGATTGCCTGCTTTACCTTGGAAACTGGAGCTGTGTGATGTGTGGTACCACATACGGCACAGGCCTGGTTGTGGGTTTTCTCCACACTCTCCAAGCTGCACATAATTTTATACATAAATGTGGATAATGTACATCATTCCCTCCTGCCCCCAAATCATCCCCTTCCTGCTGATGAGTCTCAGTTTGAGAGGTTTTTCATGATCTCCCCACCCTGTCTTCATGCTCGGAACCATTTTTAATTCAGTGTGTCTGTGGTGCCAGGTGAGAACCAAGGCTGGGCAGAGCATTCCAGGTGTGGCCAGGCTCATTGAAACAGAGTTCTGTATCCATGTCCCAGTTGTTCCTAGAGCTCAATTCAGGTTTTCCACCTCTCACTGGGCACTGAGCTGCTGTTTCCACGGGACTCTCAATCCTCACCCCAAGGTTTTGGCCCTGAGGGATAAATTTGAATTCCATGGTTTTTCTCGGAGCTGTGCTCCCTCTGCTGCCACGCTGGGCACAGGGTGGCACTGTGGATCTGTGCAGCAGCACTCCTGAGGGGACAGCCTGCTCAGAGCTCCTGTCCTGAGGAGGTCAGCTGGAGCCTGGGTGAGCTGGATTTGTGCATTTTGTACCAACAGCAGGGGCAGGGCAGTGCCTGTCCCCTGTGCTGGCACTGCAGGGCCACCTCCAGCCCTGGGGACAGCTCTGGGCTCCTCACAGCAAAGCCACAGGAGGGGCTGGAGCTTGTCCCCAGAAGGGAATGGAGCTGGGGAAGGGTCTGGAGCCCCAGGAGAGGCTGAGGGAGCTGGGAAGGGGCTCAGCCTGGAGAAAAGGAGGCTCAGGGGGACCTTGTGGCTCTGCACAGCTCCTGCCAGGAGGGGACACCGGGGGGGTCGGGCTCTGCTCCAGGGAACAGGGACAGGAGGAGAGGGAATGGCCTCAAGTTGCACCACAAAGCTTTAGGTTTGATATTGGGGAAAATTCCTTAATGGAAGGGTTTGTCCAGCCCTGGCACAGCTGCCCAGGACAGTGCTGGACTCACCATCCCTGCAGGGATTTAAAATCCATGTGGATGTGGCACTTGGGGACACGGAGCAGTGGTGGCCTTGGCAGTGCTGAAGGATCAGTTGGACTCTTAGAGAGCTTTTCCAACCTCAACAGTTCCATGATTTCATGACACTCCCCTGGCAGTGTTCATTGCAGGGAGGATAATGGTGAAACTTCACCAGCTTTCCCTAGAGCAGCCCCAGGCTTGGAGAGCTTCACACGTGTGAGGTGCCAGAGCTGAGCTGGCTGGGAGGATCATGGTCTGTGCAAAGCTGGCACAGGTAATCCAGTCTGGATTTATCTCCTGTGATAGCTGTGAACAGACTCCTTGGTTAAGTGAAACTGGTACAATTCCACTCAGCCATGTCAGAACATGTCCTCACTCTCTTACTGAGGCTCTTGGAAGTTTGTACATCTTGGGTTGAGTTCAGTTTTGCTTCTGAAAGCATCCCAGTGGTTCTTTAAATGCAAACTCTCTCACATGCAGACTTGTAGTCTCAGGCTGCTTCTGGCAAATATTGTCAATTGATTGTATCTCAAAGTACAGTTTAGCATTTATTTTTTAATTCTCTGTGATATATTAGTGCTTCCTCAGCAACAGAATTCTGTCCAGTTAATAGCACCAACCATTCTTCACCCCCTGGATTCATTGTTCACTCACTCACTACTGCTTGTGCTTGATGCCAAACCTGCCCTGTTTGTTTTGCTCACTGCTGTGCCTTTTTTTCCTTTCCCAAAGCTGATTGTGGCTGTGGAGCAGGATGAAATTCCAAGGCTCAAAGCTCTGTATGAGAGGGGGCTGCAGAACAACGTCCCAGGGCTGAAACTCATTGGAGCCAAGGAAATCCAGGAGAAGGAGCCCTTCTGCAGGGTGAGGGGTTACCATACTTCTAATTAGCTAATTGTAGGAGCTTCTAATTCTAATTGTAAGAGCTGTTTCTCAGGTGAAAACATCTTCTGATTTAACACAAATACTTTTCTGGCCTTGAAGTTCAAGTTCAGAAGAGCCTGAAAATTCCTTCCCATCCATAAAAGTGGATTTGGATCAAGCCCATTTCAGTGCAGTTGGTGTGGTTGTTATGTTTATTTTCCCAGCAGAAGGAATGCGTGGAGTTTGTGGAACACAGATTTGTTATTGATTAGTATTTGTTTGAAAGGAAAAGCTGGGTGTGAATTCCCTGTGCTCTTTCATCTGGCAGCTTGCTCTGGTGCAGCTGTGTCACTTAGGAGTGGTTGTAGGTACAGACAGAAATTTTCTGGAAAAGAATCTTCTTCAGTCTTTTTTTTTTCCCCCCTGTAAACATTTTGGATCTGCTCCCTAAAACATCCTTTGAGTGTTGCAGATCCAGCTGAGCACAAGGGGAGGGAGCAGCACTCCCTTCTCATGGCAGTGCAATATTCCAGGTGAAATATCCCAACCTTCCCTCTCCTCTGTGTCTCTAAACCCTTGCAGGGACTGATGGCCCTTGATTCTCCCTACACTGGCATTGTGGATTACAAACAAGTGGCCCAGTCCTATGCCAGGGACTTCCAGGAAGCAGGTGGGACAATCCTGACTGATTTTGAAGTCACAAACATGGAGATGGCCAGAGAAAGTTCTGCAGAAAGTGAGGATGGTAAGGCTGGATTTTTTTGCCCTCCATTTTAAGTTCAGTTAGAACATAATTGTTTTAACTGAAATGACATTTCTGATTTTTTTTTTTGTCTCCTAGTATTCAGCAAAATCACTTGGGGTTTTTTTTGCAGGCAGGTCACCCTTCAGCTGAAACATTTAAAACTGATGGAAGAAAGTGAGAGTAAAATGGAGAAATAAAGTTGTTCTCTCCTCTTAAAATCAGATTTATCTGAGTCTTGCATGTTTATTCTTGTGATAGTGATTTTCCTTATCCTGAAGGCAGGTTGGATCTGTGCTGGCACACAGAGGGAAGAATAAAACCCCCTATTAATTAATAAATACAGTCATGTCCAACAAGATTAATTATGACAAGAGTAGTTCTTACACAGCTTGGAAAATATTCCAGAGGAAAATTCCTTCCTGGTGACAAGCTGCTTGTTCTGTCAGCTCTCTTTTGCTTGTTCTAGTAATTCCCTCTCTTGTCTAATTCCATTTCAGGGCTGAAATACCCAGTCATTGTTAGGAGCAAAAAGGTAAGGGTGCAAAAGAAGTCTTCATTCCTTCCAGGAAGCTGCTTCTCCTTTTCTTCAGTTTTTTTTTTTTTCTGGTGAATTAATAATCTCCAAAAAAAAAGGTTAAAAATTTGCTGTTCAGCAACATGATCAGTTTGATAGAGCAACTGCAATCAGTTCTTAACAATGAGGATGTTCAAATAAATAAATAAATAAATAAAAATAATGATGATGATGGTGTAAAATATTCAGCTAAAACTTCTGCTGCCTGACATTTACCATCCTTTATCTGCTTTATTTGCACAATCCGATGCTTGTGCTTGCAAGAACTCCTTTATGACTTGTTCATCTGGTGACAAACACCAATTTTCATGTTTACTTTTGAGCTCTGGCATCCATAAAATGATAAGGAGGCTTTTAGCATCGTTTTATTATCATTTTATCATCAGACTGTTTCAGTGAAACAGGTGCAAGGCAGCTGCTGTTCCTGCAAGTCAGGAACTGTGGTTCACCTTCAGGAGGGAATATCTGAACAAAACCAGCTCCACAACCCCTCTGGTTGTTTTTAAATTTAGTTCTGCTGCTTTTTTTTTCTCCTATTTTTTTGCTCTTCCATTAAAAAGTAGCTTCAAAAATCTGTTAGGATTTTTTTTCCCACCAAATACTGGTATTTTTTTCATGCAAATATTTTTCAGTTGGAAAAAAAAGAATCGTATTTAAAAGCAGGTACTAAGCTAAAAAATAGATAATAGTTTTTGATGTTTATTTATTTCTTTATTTAGATGGTAAAGGTGTTTAATATTTAGCACCTCTCCATACCTGTGTGCTGTCAATTTGTGTAGCTGCTCCCACCCTGTGGGGTCAAATCAGTGAACATCTTTATTTACCTTACTTAAGTTAATTTTTAAAAAAATATTTTAAAAAATTATTTTAAATAAATTTCAAATTTATTTTTTAAAAGACTACATTTAATTTTTTTAAAATAAGTTAGCTTTAAAATGTATTTTAAATAAGTTTTTTTTAATTTTTAATAATTTAATTAGCTAAACAAATTTTCTTTATTTAAATCAATGCTTGTGGGGTTTTTCAGGGTGGTTTTTTTTTAGCAGATAAACAGGATTTTGGTGTGGTTTTTGTTCCCCCAGGGTGAGGAGATCTCCTGTGGGCACCTTCTGACCTGTGCAGGGCTTCACTCCGACCGCCTGGCCGGGATCAGCGGCTGCAGCCCCGAGCCCAGGATCGTCCCCTTCCGGGGGGATTACCTGCTCCTGAAGCCAGAAAAGTCCTACTTGGTGAAAGGAAATATTTATCCAGTAAGTACCCCTGGTTTGTGTGTCACAGGGTACCCTAAGAGCTGCTGAAAATGCAGAAAAAAGGAAAAAAATCCGTGGCAGTGACGCACACACGTGGGTGGAGATTCAGTTGGTTTGGGACAGGACAGCTTGGATTTTGTTAATTGTTTTTGTTAATTTTTTTCAATTGATTGAGGAAAACATGAAAGTACCACGTGGGAAGTTATTGCCAGTTGTTTTCCTTTTGTTTATGGTTTTAGTTTTGGAGTTTTTTTTACTTAATAGAGAAAAGATGGAATATCACATTGCCACATATCCAGAAAACTCTACATTATTTCTGTATGTCCTACAATGAAGTCAGGGAGAGATGACAGTAAATTGTTATTTAAGTAATTATAACAGTCCTGTTTAATCTTTTTATTGATAATTTGGACAAAGGGGTTGACTGTACCCTCAGGAAATTCACAGATGACACTGGAGGTTTTTTCCAAGCTCAGTGATTCTGGGATTCTGTGATGAACTATTGATAAAGGGTTTCATCTTTTGTGCTAATAGCCAACACTCAGATTTAGGTATTTTCCTCTCAACCTTATTTTTGGATTAGCTGATTTTGTCATTAAAAACAGATGTGGGAGAAAAGGGAGCAATCTTTCTACCACCTAATACAGACAAATAATGGGATGAAGAGCAGCAATCCCAGAGAGAAAATGTAATTACAGAGCAACTGGAGAGAATTCCTAGGGCAGCATTTTAACTAATTCTGTCCATTTAAATACTGATTTTCTGAATATGAGAATAGCTTTGCCTGCTAAACACTGGATCTTTGGGAAGATTGGAATGCTGGGCATTGCTGTTTGCTCTCACCTGAGAGCCATTCAGGGTCCTGTCCTGGGATGGGAGGCAGGAAGTGGAACAAAAAAAGAACATGCAGATTTATTATCATTAGCATTATTAACATTATTATTAGCATTAACCAGGCCTGCTAAGTTCAGGTTCTCCTAATATTTTGTATTCTGTTTTATTGCAGTATAATTGCTGCTGGTGAACAAAATCAGGGTGTCACTGCCTTATGTCCTGAGAAATCATGTGGACTTTTTTCCCCGTTATTTGTTTTACTTTTCCCTAAAATTCAGCTTTACCTGGCCCCATTCTGTTCTCCAGTGGTTTAATTAATGACATGCCACAACTGCACAATTAACAAGCCACAAAACCAGCTCAGAGCCAGTTTTGAGGTTCTGTGACTGAGAGTTTTGCTGCTGTGGTTGGAAATAAAATGGCAAACTTGATGTTTGTAAGAGCTCTGCTCACTCCTGTGCCCCATTTCAGGTTCCCAACCCTCGTTTCCCATTCCTGGGATTCCATTTCACTCCCAGGATGGATGGCAGTGTCTGGCTTGGCCCTAATGCAGTGCTGGCCTTTAAGAGAGAGGGCTACAAACTCTTGGACTTCAGCCCTGGAGACTTCTTGGATGCTGTGACCTACAGGTAATGCCTTGTGTTTGTGTCTGCTGCCTGCTCTTGTTGAAATGTGAGCCATGGAAGCCACTTCCTGCCCAAAATCCTGCTTTTCCCACGTTTTTAGTGTGTTCAAAGACACTTTTGCTGATAAGGGTGGACTTCCCCAAGACACTTGACTTCTTGTGGTCTCATACTTAAATTTGCTACCAGGACATGTCTCAGCCAGTCTGGGAACGTGGCTGCTCCCTGGAAGGTGCTGGTGGAGCCATTCCAGGGTTGGTTTGCACTGTGATCACTTAATCAACTCAGACAGCATCACTGAATACCTGCAGAGGGTGCTGGGAGCAGACAAAGGCTGGGAGAGAGAGCTGGGAATGTTCCCCTGGAGAGGAGAAGGCTCCAGGGAGAGCTCAGAGCCCCTGGCAGGGCCTGGAGGGGCTCCAGGAGAGCTGGAGAGGGACTGGGGACAAGGATGGAGGTACAGGACACAGGGAATGGCTCCCACTGCCAGAGGGCAGGGATGGATGGGAGATTGGGAACTGGGAATTCCTGGCTGGGAGGGTGGAGAGGCCCTGGAATAGAATTGCCAGAGCAGCTGTGGCAGCCCCTGGATCCCTGGCAGTGCCCAAGGCCAGGCTGGACAGGGCTTGGAGCAATCTGGGATAGTGGAGGGGTCCCTGCCCAGGTTGCTCCAAACTCATCAAGTCCTGGAACACTTCCAGGCCTGGAATTCAGAATTAATCCAATGCCACAGCTCTGTGAGCAGGGTTTGTTGAAGCAGAGAAGGACAAACATGCATTTCTCAAATGCAAAGCACGATGTGGTTCCTGATTTTGGGAATGGGAACTTGTGCCCTGCAGTTGCATTTGCTGCCTTCTCCAGCAGCTGCAGCTGGTGCATTTTGGGCAGATTTTCCCTCAGTGCAGTTGTTTCTCCCACTTTCCCTTGCAGTGGGCTGTGGAAGCTGGTGCTGAGGAACGTGTCCTACGGCCTGGGGGAGCTGTACAGAGCCTTTTCCCTCAGTGCCCAGGTGAGGCAGCTGCAGAAGTTCATCCCTGAGGTCACCACCAATGATGTTCTCAGGTAAAGGAAACTGCTTCTGCTTGGGAAATCTCCTGTCTGAACAGCAGAAAACGTGGCGGGCTCCCTTCCTCCACCAAAATATGATACAGAAACTTGGAGCTGCCTCCAGCTTGAAGGACCTGAGTCCAGAGGAGGCACCAGGATGATTAGGGGGATGGAGCAGCTCTGCTGGGAGGAAAGGCTGAGAATTTTGGGATTGTTCAGCCTGGAGAAGAGAAGCTTTGGGGTGACCTCCCTGTGGCCTTGCAGGACTCGAGGAGAACCCACAGAAAGATGGAGAGGGATTATTTACAGAGCCTTGGAGGGGCAGGACAAGGGGGAATGGCCTCAAACTGACAGAGGGCATGGTTGGATGGGATATTGGGAAGGAATTCCTGGCTGTGAAGGTAGGGAGGCCCTGGCACAGGGTGCCCAGAGCAGCTGTGGCTGCCCCTGGATCCCTGGAAGTGCCCAAGGCCAGGTTGGACACTGGGGCTGGAGCAGCCTGGGACAGTGGGAGGTGTCCCTGGGGTGGAGCTGGGTGGGCTTTAAGCTCACAGGTTGGCCACCTCAATGATCCCATGACTGTCAGGTATCCCCCACTCTGCCTCCTGAGTGTTAAAACTCCCAAAAAAATGCTTTGTCTCCACCCCCTGCCCTCCTCACTGTCTCCCTGGACACCTCCTCACGGCAGTTCCTTCCCTGACTCAGGATGACATTTTCCTTCTGCTCCTCCTTGCTTTTGCAGGGGTCCCTCTGGTGTGAGAGCCCAGGCCCTGGACAGTGAGGGCAATCTGGTGGATGACTTTGTGTTTGATGGGGGCTCTGGGGCCGTGGGCAGCAGGATCCTGCACGTCAGGAACGCTCCTTCCCCCGCCGCCACCTCCTCGCTGGCCATCGCCGCCGCCATCGCCGACGAGGCCCAGCGGCGCTTCCGGCTCTGAACCCCGGCAGGAATCCCGGCAGGAATCCTGCCTGCTGCCCCTCTGCAGCCTGGCACTCCTCCCGATGGACACAGAGCCAGCAGGCAGTGCCCCAGCAGCCTTGGCAGTGTGCTGTGCCCACAGCTCCTGGGGCGTCCTGAGGGAGGTTTGGCCAGCGGAGCAGGAGCAGCCGCGGCAGGGACTCCAGGCAGAGCAGGGTGGATCCCTCTGTGTGGGGTTATCCACCTGGATTTGGCATGCAGAGCACGTGGATCCCTCTGTGTGGGGTTATCCACCTGGATTTTCCGTGCCTGTGCTCACAGTGCTGCCCCCTCAGAGGGGTCTGAAAAGCCACAAGGGTGGGGTGGCTCTGTGTGGGCTCTGATTCCACTGAAGTTGGAGTGTGCAGCCCTCTGGGTGACATGGAAGTGATGGAATAGAAGGATGAGCCCTGCTCAAGGGCCCTGCTGATGTGGAATTAAAGGCTTTGTCAGAGGTTGTGAACAATATTCAGAGCCTTCGACGTGAATGTAGAGTATTTCACAGAAAAATAAGCTTAAAGAGGATTACCAACCCAAGTCAATTTAGATCTGCAACTCAGATACTCTGTCTGATCGCTGTCTGTATTTTTTTATAGAGCAGAAATCAAAATATGGATACAAACAATCACTTTTCATTTACAGCTGGGAAATCAGCACTGATCAGAAACTTCATCAGTGGGTTTGGGTTTCTTCCTTTGAATGCTGATGATGCAAAAGGAGCTGATCTTTGTCCAGCCAGTTGGGCAATCCAGGGAAAATGGTCTTTGGAACAGGAAATGTGAAGGGAGGGAAGCTCCAGAAAGCTGCCTTGAGTCATGTTTGGTGTTGCTTCCCTTGGAGCCCGAGCAGGGATGAGTCAGGAAGGCTTCCCATTTTCCCTGAGCACAGGGGGAGCTCAGACAGCTCTGAACTCCATGGATACCCAATTTTTATCAGAGATACACCTGGAGGAGTCTGTGTGCAGGGAGAGGTGAAGGAAACTCAGTGCTGAGCATCTGGGAGTGTCCTGCAGGATTGCTGTAAAGCAGAATTTTGTGGCCTCAGGGACAAAGTATTGAGGGTTTAATAACAGCTGCTGGGTAGCACAGATAATTGTGGGGAGTTTGAAGGAGAAAATTGGACATTACTTTTTCCTTAAAATGTTCTTTTCTGAGCTCCTCTGATGGGAGCTAGCACAGGAGGGCAGCTCTGAGGCTGATTTCACTGTATGGATTGGAAACACTTTTTTGAAGGGAAAAAAGGCTTAATCTGCCTGTTTTTTATTATTATTATTTTTCCTTTTTTTTTCCCTGGTAATATCTACTTTACCAGCAAATCGACTGCTGGAAATTCAATACCAACCCTCTCAGAGCAAAGTTTGGTCACTTCAGGCAGAGATTCTGCTGTTCCAAGTCTTCCATTGCCACAGGGCTGTGTAAAACTTCCCACAGTGGAACAATCCTATCTTCCCTCCCACAAAAGGATTGCAAAAGCCACTTCCTCCTACATGGGGTGTGGCCCTGACATGTATTAACAGAATAAAGAACATTAAAATGCAAAGCAGACAGAGACCAGGGGGAGTCCTGAGTCAGCATTTCCCTGTGCACTGCTTTTTCCTCTCAGGTGATGATTGACTGGGGGTAAAGTTTATTTGAAACTTAAATTATGAACCTTGATGTAGCATTCTGTGAATATAAATCTTTTCAGAGATAAAGGTTTTACACTTTTGTTATAAAAATAAGTTCAGAGATTATGATACCAGGGTTTCAGGCATCAATCTTATTGCTCACAAAGTGTGAAAATGTATTAATTTATTTTCCAAATGAGCCTCACTTTGATGATTTCATAAATGTGCCTTTTATGATTAAAATAGTGTGGTGTTTTTTTTTTTTTTTAAATGCTGTAAAATCTGTGTATTTGTCCTGAGTCAGAGAGAAGTGTCACTGGAATTTGTTAATTCTCAGCTGAATTAGGCAGGGTATCACTCTGTGTAACAGAAATCACTCCAGGAGGGGCACTCATGACCAGACTTGTCTTCCTAAATTATCTTATCTGTGCTCCTCACAGCTTTTCCTCACTGCTCCTCAGGCTGATCTGGGCCTGTTGGGACAGGTGGGATGAGAATTCCTGAACCTCTGAATAAATATTTGGACAAACACCATTTGTTCCCCAGAAGTGTTACAGAATCATAGAACCCCAGGCTGGTTTGGGGTTGGAAAGGACCTTAAATCCCATCCCATGCCACCCTTTCCACTATCCCAGGGTGCTCCAAGCTCTCTCCAGCCTGGCCTGGGACACTCACAGGGAATTCCTTCCCAATATTCCACACAAACAGTGCCCAGCAAGGTCAGCCCTAAACTCTGGAAGGAGGAGGAACTGTGGGTTTTGCCAGCATTATCCCATCATTACTTTTCCTTTTTGCTCACAGTTTGGGTTTGAGGAACAAGTATAAAATAGAAATAAATAGAAAATAAAAATACAGAAATAGATATATAGATAGAATAGCTACAAATACATATAGATACATATATACACATACATTACTTATGTTTATACATACATTACATGTGTATTATAATACATATACATTAGATAGAAATAGAAATGCTTTGTTGGGAACCTCCCAGGCTGCTCTGGTGGGGCAGGAGGATCAAGCCATGGAGCAGAAGGAGCAGTTTGTGCCTCTGGAAGCATCAGGCTCCTCCAGGAAATCTTACAAAGAAGGATCACCATTTTACTGGCAGGAAGGCACATTTTTTCTCTTTTGGTTTAATTTATCCATTCTCTCTGTAGATAAGTCTTAAAATGGGGAGTGGAGGGAATATGAAGTGTGAGATTTGAATATTATGCTGTCAGGAGGGAAATGAGGGAAAATTTATCTGGATTTGGGTGATGAGTGGGTGAAGGGAATGGTGTTCTCTGGAGCAGGGAGGAAAACTGCCTCCAAAGAGGGAGGGAAACTCCTTCCAGGTATGGAGAGAAAAACTGCTGGCAGGTAGGAAAACATCCTCCAGAGAGGGGGGAAAACTGCCTCGAGGTTGGGAGAAAAACATCCTCCAGCTGGGGAGGAAAACAGGCTCCAGGCTGTGAGAAAAATTGCCTCGAGGCAGGGAGAAGAGTTTACAGAAAACAGGCTCCAAGCAGGAAGAAGAAAAGCCTCCAAGTAAGGAGAGAAAGTCCTTCCAGGTAAGAAAACAGTCTCCAAACAGGGAGCAGAAGAGGATTCGGATAAGGATGGGAACAGCCCCCAGCAGGAAGAGGCACAGGTTCTCTAGGAAGCCTCCAGGTAAGGAGAGCCACATCCTCCAGGTGGGGAGGAAATCTGCCTCCAGGTAGGAGAGGAACATCCTCCAGGCAGGGTAAAACACAGCCTGCAGGCAGGGAATGGCATCCAGGCAGGAAGAACACCTCCAGGGAGGGAGGGGAAGAGCTTTCAGAAAAACTGCTTCCAGGCAGGGAAATATCACGGGGAGGGAAATACCCTCTGGGCAGGGAAATCACCTCTAGGAAGGGAAATATCCTTTAGGAAGGGAAATATCCTCTGGGTAGGGAAATATCCTTTAGGAAGGGAAATATCCTTTAGGAAGGGAAATCACCTCTAGGAAGGGAAATATCCTCTGGGTAGGGGAATATCCTTTAGGAAGGGAAATATCCTCTGGGTAGGGAAATATCCTTTAGGAAGGGAAATACATCTTCCAGGTAAGGAATTATCATTTGGGCAGGGAAATATCCTCTGGGCAGGGAAATCTCCTCTAAGTGGAGAATTATCATTTGGGCAGGGAAATCACGTCTAGGTAGGGAAATATCCTCCAGGTAGGGAAAAATTATTTGGGCAGGGAAGTATCCCCAGGTAAGGAAATATCATTTGGGCAGGGAAATCTCCTCTTGGCAAGGAAATATTCCCTAGGTAAGGAAATCTCCCCTGGGCAAGGAAATATCCTCTAGGTAAAGAATCATCCCCTCGGTGAGGAAATATTCCATAGGTAAGGAAACATCCCGCGGGCAGGGAAATCTCCCCCGGACAGGGGAAACACCCCCTCAGTAATGAAATCTCCCCTAGGTAAGGAATTATCCCATCGGTAAGGAAATCTCCCCTCAGTAATGAAATCTCGCCTAGGTAAGGAATTATCCCCTGGGCAAGGAATTATCCCCTAGTTTAGGAACTCTCCCTTAGTTAAGGAAATCTCCCCTAGGTAAGGAAACATCCCCCATTTCAGGGGCTCTCCCCCAGTTCAGGAACCCTCTCCCGGTTCAGGATCTCTCCCCTAGATAAGGAATTTTCTCCCCGGTTCAGGATCTCTCCCTGGTTCAGAATTCTCCCCCAGTCCAGGATCTCTCCGGTCCAGGATCTCTAACCTAGATAAGGAATTCTCCCCCGGTCCCGGCTCTCTCCCGGTTCGGGATCTCTCCCGTTCCCGGCTCTCTCTCTCCCGGCGGCCCGGCCGGCCCCGATGCGGAGCGGCCGCCATGCAGCCGCCGCCGCAGCCCTACGAGTTCCTGGGCGAGGAGAACGGCCCGAAATGGCGCGGCCTCTTCGTGCCCGCCCTGCGCAAGGTCAGTCCCGGCGCCGAGCGGCGGCACCTGCTCGCAGCCTGCCCCGCGTCCCCGCGCTCCGGGCAGGTGGAGCCCCGGCCCCCGCCCTGCCCTCAGGCAGCGCCGGGAGGGCCCCGAGCCCCCCGCGGCTCCCTCAGGGCCGGGGCGGGCGGGGATGCTGCGGGGATCGGGGACCGGCGCTGCTGCTCCGGCACCTGCGCTCGCTGAAGTTCGCTCTCCGCTTTAAGTGGGGCTTTCGCTTGCAGGGGTTGGTATCCCAGACTGGCTTGGCTTGGAGGGGATCTTAAATGTCATCTCCTTCCAACTGCCTGCCATGGCAGGGACACCTTCCACTGTCCCGGGCTGCTCCAAGCCCTGTCCAGCCTGGCCCTGGGCACTGCCAGGGATCCAGGGACAGCCACAGCTGCTCTGGGCACCCTGATAGCATTGCTGGTGTGCAAGGGAATGGCATCCTTCACCCCTTCCTTCATGCTTTCCATCCTTCATCCCCTCCTTCACCCCTTCCTTCATGCTTTCCATCCTTCATCCCCTCCTTCACCCCTTCCTTCATGCTTTCCGTAACCCCTTCCTTTATCCCTTGCTTTATCACTTCCTTCATCTCCTCCTTCACCCCTTCCTTTATCCCTTGTTTTATTACTTCCTTCATCTCCTCTTCATCCCCTTCCTTCATCCCCTTCCTTCATCCCCTTCCTTTATCCCTTCCTTCATCGCCTCCTTCACCCCTTCCTTCATGCTTTCCTTCGCCCCTTCCTTCATCCCTTCCTCCATCCCTTCATCCCCTCCTTCACCCCTTCCTTCGTGCTTTCCTTTACCCCTTCCGTCATCCCTTCCTTCATCCCCTCCTTCATCCCTTCCTTCATCCCCTCCTTCATCCCTTCCTTCATCCCCTCCTTCATCCCTTCCTTCATCCCCTCCTTCATCCCTTCCTTCATCCCCTCCTTCATCCCTTCCTTCATCCCCTCCTTCATCCCTTCCTTCATCCCCTCCTTCATCCCTTCCTTCATCCCCTCCTTCATCCCTTCCTTCATCCCCTCCTTCATCCCTTCCTTCATCCCCTCCTTCATCCCTTCCTTCATCCCCTCCTTCATCCCTTCCTTCATCCCCTCCTTCATCCCTTCCTTCATCCCCTCCTTCATCCCTTCCTTCATCCCCTCCTTCATCCCTTCCTTCATCCCCTCCTTCATCCCTTCCTTCATCCCCTCCTTCATCCCTTCCTTCATCCCCTCCTTCATCCCTTCCTTCATCCCCTCCTTCATCCCTTCCTTCATCCCCTCCTTCATCCCTTCCTTCATCCCCTCCTTCATCCCTTCCTTCATCCCCTCCTTCATCCCTTCCTTCATCCCCTCCTTCATCCCTTCCTTCACCCCTTCCTTCACCCCCCCCAGGCGTTTCTCCTGACACCTTTCCAGGCTCTTTCCCGAGCCGCGTTCCTTCCCGGCGCTGTTCCCGACGCTCGGGTGACACCTGTGACAGCAGTGACAGCAGCCACCTGTGGTGCAGGGAGCAGCCACCCTGTGACACATCTGCCACTGCACAGCTGAGAGTGGCAAACCCACAGGAGGTGAATCCGTGCTTTTAGGATGTGTTTGCACAGCAGGGAAGCTCCAGCCCACCCCCCTTTTCACCCCCAGTAGTGTAAAAAAAGGATAAATTGAGGCTGGAGGGAGCAGTGCCCTGCTGTGTGTCCTTTCCAAAAGCTGAGGGTTATTCCATAATTCTGACCATCACTGTCTGCTGATCTGCATCTCTGGTGCTGCCATACCAATACTTTAGGCAGTGGTGAGTGGTTTGTCTCTTTTTCTCCCAATAAGAGATGTAGTGATGCTGTTGGATAATGATTCCCCGTTATTTTTTTTAATAGCATAAAAGATTTGCATTTGTTTTGGGTGTCTGTCTAAGTGGTCTTGTGGCTGGCATAGAAACCACTAATTGCCTGTCTGAAGAACCCTGGATTTTCTGCTCTTTACCCTAAAATCTCCTCATGGAAGCTGCTTTCCAGTGCCTTAGAGAAGGCCAGGCTGTTCTTTTCCTGATCCCTCTGCAATCTGACCCGAAGCAGCCCCTTAACACCAACCAGCATCTGCCCAAACGTGAGGTGCAAAAAGATTCCCTTAAAATTCAGAGGTGCTTTCGTCATCCTAAAACACAAATGCAGCACAAGTTGCTGGGTTCATGCTGCTTTACCAATTCTTTCAATTTGTGCATTTGGTTTGGGTGAAAAAAGCAGCAATTTCAGCTTTCTAAAGCAGAGGAAACGGGGTTGTGATGGCAGTGAGTGCCTGTAAAAATGTGTATTTGCTTGTAGCCAGGTTTTTT